CCTGCCGCTACACCGACTCCTTTATCCCCCCTCCCCCATGCCCCCCCACCAGTGCTGCTCTCTACGGAGTACGGAAGCCCGAAGCACCTGTTGGGTCAGTCAGTACAGCTGGAAGAGTGGGCAGACCACAGAACCCTCCCTCGGGTTTTGAGCAGGTGTGCAAAATTTTTTCGACAATGAGGCTCATAGGAGTGGTCGCAATCGACACAAGTTTTAATTTTCATTGGGGGTACATGATAAAAAAAATCATGGAATCCTTGGTAAAACTGTACACTGTGTATGTTCAATAAATAAAGAAGACAAAAGGGGTGATAATGGGTATCATTTCATTTTATGAAAGATTTCATACTAAGATCCACACGGTACCTATTCACATTATACAAAAAATGATGTCTCGGCCAGGTTAAAATAAAATACACTACTGTATGTGTAAGAAATTAAAACCAAACAAGTTATAATTTTAATGCTGGTGCAAAATATACTTGATCCAATATCCCCCTTATTATGATTGTGTCAAAACATAATTCATTTTAAATATTGATGTTGTAATTGGTAATTTTGTACAGTTTTCTTGTAGACTAAATATTTACAGGTATTATGAAATATGAACACCCCCAATAAAACTGCTATGATACAACAATTATTGTTAAATTTCAATCCATTCCTGGAGGAAGAGGCTCAGATGTTCCTGAATTTTCCTGGAAAGCATCTTCTCTTACATCAATGGTAAGTCCATCTGGTGACATCTGTGGGAAAAATAATATTATTGAAGTGTGAAGGAGGATAAGCCAAGATTAGACAAATTATTATGTAGTAGATTATAATAAAATAAAACTCAAAACTTACTGGTTCTGCAATCTGCGCATCATAATCCTCTTGAACTACATGTCTTGTGCCAGTCAAAACATCCATTACAGATTGGGGGACATGGGACCGTTGAGTGTCAGTAAATGATTGGACATGTTGCAGAAGAGGCTGTCTCATCTCCGGACAAGAATCAAGGACTTCTTGCAACTGAGGAGCTGGTAACTGTAATAACACTTGGAAGCTCTGTGGCTTAGTTCTTTGGCAACACTTTATAAAGCCTTCCCAAACCTTCCGTTGTGTCCACACTTGTTTCAAAATGAGTCTTTGCAATATGTTCATAACAAATCCACTGAGATTTGGATAAGCAGCAAGAGATTGGATGACAGTACGCATTAAAAGTGTGGGCAGTGGATTCATTTCCATTAACTGTTGCATTACAATAGCCAAGTTTTCTTGAGTATAGGCTTGCTTCTCAGAAAAGCACAATGTAGTAGCCTTTATAACTGTCTTTAGCTCACATTTTTTAGGGTCAATCACATGGAGAGCCACAAGCAATTCGACTGGAGTTAAAGGTGAGTTGTGACTTGATGAGTCTGAATGATTACCCAACAATCTATTGAAAACCTCCTTCACAACAATAGGATTAAGCTTGATAAGCCTTGGTAGAGAATCAATGACTTCCCTTTTGGTAAGACCGTTCAAAACTGGTATAAGGAAACGAACATCTGAAACTCTTGATTGGTAAAGCTCCCTCACTCGTTTCACAAGTTCTGCACTTGGTGGAGTTTTATCAGTGAGAATGTGAATTACTCGTGTGACAAGGGTCTCAGCACCCTTTGGACACTCCTCAACAAGCTTTAACAACTCTGGAGAATCCATTCCCATACCCCTTACTGGAGCATCCAACAATCGTAAAATGATTCGTTTCACATCAGCTACAGTTTGAGCATACACTCTGGTTAACCTAGAGAAACAAGTTAAAAATTTGTAAGTAAAACTTTGGAAATGGCTGATAAGTTATAAAGGTTAAAAAAAAACTTACTCATGAATCAATCTGTGTTCATGTGGTAAAAGCTCAAGGTACAAGTACAAACAAGCTTTAGTTGGACCCTCTGCCCAAGTATCAGCCTTAGAGGGCCTGCCTCGTTCAGCACCAAATAATACATCTGGAGGGGCTGGTAATTGTAGAAAACCAAGGTACATAATTGCGTATTCCTCTATGATAGAACGTAGATCTGACCGATCATCATACAAAGCCAGAACACATTTCATGCCATTGGAACGGACCTGAAAATAGACATGGATATTTTACAGAACATGCAGTACCTTTATTCTATATTATGAGAGCCAGTTTGTTTAGTAACTATTGTAACCTATAGGTTTAAGGAGCTGCTCACCTCTGTGCTGTCATGTGCGGAATGTTCAAGAAGTGCATTCAGATAAGTAAGCTGTTTGGGAGGGCGCCTGATGACAAGGCTTTGCAAAAGTTGTAAGCCAACTGAACATCTGGTTTCATCACAACTAAGTGACTTTAATATATCTGTAGCCTCCTCGGTAATACAAGGTGCTTCTAGATACAATCTCTTCAGTAGACTGAAAAAATGAATGAAAATAATGAAAACAAATGAATTACGATAGAAAAATAGTAAGACTTGATAATTCTTTTCTCTTGAAGACTGTTAGGTAAAAGTACACATACGGTTCTCGTTCAGGTTTCTCAGCTAAATGAACTGCAAGGGTGCAGAAGAGTTTCACATATCTTTTAACAGCAGATCCATCATCCTCATTGAAAACTGGCTTCCTTGTGAAACTTTGCATGAGGCTATATTCTTCATAAAGCCATGATATAGCAAGATCCAGATCTAATTTATTTTGTAAATCATCAACAACAAATTGTAAAATATCTGAAAACAGTTAATATTTTGTTTAGATTCATGTACCACTTCATTCATGTATTCTCAAAATACTTTCAATGGTTTTAAAATGGTAGATAGATAACATTTATTTTTCTTACCCCCTCTAACATCTGAATTATATGTGGAGGCCAATGTGACAATGATTTTACTGCGAATAGCATTGACACCACCAAACTGGGCTGTTTTTTCTGCATTCAATATACGCTTGACAGCTGAGAGGCACATTTTTGTTTTCATCTCTTGACCTGCAAGATTGAAACGGGTACGTAGATTTTTCAATCATGAGCGTTGATTAATAGATTGAAATTTCATGATAAAATTAACATACTTAAAGGTCTGGTGATCTCTGCCAACTTGAGAGCACGAGCTTTCTGCTTTAGAGGTCTTGTCATTGGTGTCATTGGAGTCAATTCCTTGAGCTTCTCCCTCTCTGACATTAGTTGTTCATTTGATTCTCTCTGGGGTAAGAGAGGACCCTCCAAGTCATCCCCATCTTGGTCCATGAGCTCCTCCACAGGAGGTGGAGGAGGAAGCAAGACAGGCTCCAGTGCTGCTGCTACAGGAGCAACGGGGGCTGCAGCTTTGGGTGGAGGAGGAGCAGCTACTTCGTCTAAATCATCCTCCTCTAGTTCTGTTAAAACCTAAACACAAAATATTTCAAATTAGTTTAAATGTGCGAAGGGAACTAGCATGGACTTGTTTAAAATTAGAAAGGTCTTACTCTGCCAGATTTGCGAGGAACTTGGCGACCTGCTGATCCTGACATCTGTGAATGGAGAAGTTTGGCAAGATACTGAATATGAGCTTGCGAGCCAGGTTCTTTGAATGGAGTGTAGCTTGTTGGAAAGTGTGGTGGCATAGATGCAGGCACTTGATGCTGTTGTAAAAGATAGTCAAATTATTTACCAATTTATGAGTACTAGAATATTGTTCTTACATTTAAGTTGCTTTAAGCCTTTGAAATCTAAGCATAACTTACAAGAGCTGCAAGAACAAGTTCAGAAACAGTTTCAGGAGCTAGACGCTCTGCAATGAATTTCTCAGTCAACTCTGGAGGCACATCGGGAATGGCCTTTGAGGAGTGGCTCTTTTTCTGTAAAAGAATGCATAACATACAAAAGTGTAAAATATCATCAAAAGGTCAAACTGTTTATATTACATTAGACTCCAAAAATTTAGGGAAAATACATACCTGCTCAGTCACTGGCTCTGGTCGGTAAAGTGCCTCTAATTTTGGTCTCTTATGCAAGCTGCTGGCACTTTCAGTACCAGGTCGCTTGTGATTGCGCCGTGATTTGTCATCAACCTTAGGCATTATTTTTGCTATCTGAGAAAGAAATAAGGGAAAATTAACACTGCGTTTCTGAATTGGATAAGAAAGAAAGTTTCTTCTGAAGTACCATACCTCCTGAGGGGTACATCCAAGATCAGCCAAAAGCTTCATAATTTCTGGATGGTAATCAACAGCTGATGGCTGCTTCAACAAATTGGTAAGCTGTAATTTTAGGTGTTTTCTCACGGAATTCACTTGTGACTTTGATAGTGTGGGTGGAAGTTTTTCTGAAAAATTTAAAGGGTTACAATTTTATAAGTGTGAGGTCTATAATTTGAATGATAAAGTGTGCTGGAATTATTTTGCACATACTATTTAAATTTTCCAGGCAAGTAATAACTTTTCCCATGAACTGAGGTCTCATACGGGCAATGAGAGTGAGGGAGCCCATGCAAGTCATAAGATTGACACTGCTAACATGGGCCTCACCATGAAATTTCACCAACAGTTGGAATATCATGCTGAATAAAAATTGAAATTGGTTAAACTTCAGGACCAACTAATATCAAGTAAAACATGAGAAATGCAGCTCAGCACACCTTGCTTCCTCCTCTAATCTTCTTCTGCGTACAATCTTTAATGTTAGTGGAATATCTTCGAGATTGAAATCATTTTCTCTCACCATACTTTCAGCTTCAGGGTAGGTCTGAAGTAACACCACTCCTTCGAGGAATTTTACTGACTGAGTCCGAATACTAAAAGAGGAAACAGAGTATTGTATCAGATTTGATAAGAGACATGAGGTACCTATTGTTCTCAGTTTCTTATTTGAAGGCATAAAACATAAAACCATACCCATCATTATCACTGTCAATCAATTTAACAATCTCCGACTTCATGGTACACATGGCTCCCCAAGCTTTTTCCATTTGAGCAGGCACAGGTTGAGTTCGGGCTATGTACATGAGCGTTCCACGATATATTTGAGATGCAGCCTGAACCACTCGCTTCTGTACTTGAGGAACACTATCCCGAAGCAATAAATCCAGACTATCCATCACTCTTGGAAGTATGGCAGGATCTTTCTTACTAGATTAAAGAAAGAGGTGCAAAACAATCACACAACTCATCTAATATGTGAGATAACAAACCAAGTTGAAATTATAAAATGTAATTTGTACCATGATTCTTCAATGAATCCTACAACAGATCGACGTACTTCCATAGTTCGGTCTGATTGGAAAGCAAGTACATCATCTAAAAATGACTCCAATAACTGAGGATTTTGATGAATTAAAAGTTCTTGAACTTTGCTAATATTTGCAACTTTCAATTTTTGATCCGTAGAGGTACTGGCTTCATTAAGCCACTCGACAATCTGTGAAAAGAGAAACTCATTAACATAAAAATGGTGACAACAAATGACCATATCGTGAAGAAAATGAATTGAAAGTATTAATGTAAGTGTTATGCTAACATATTTCAAACAGAAATACCTTGTTAAACGTCTTCTCGTGTTCGCCCATGGCTGCGAGTTAAAAGGTAGTTTGTTTTTCTCTGGCGATCTAAAATGTAACTGATTGAAGTAGTTGAAGATTTATTTAAAACTGACAAGTGGAAAGCATTCGGGTTACATAGTTTTTGGGTTCCATTAAACGGGATTACTTTCACACACAGATTCGTGCGTTAGGAAGTTAGTCTTATTCACGCCAATAGCGTTGACGATCAATACCAAGCCCATGCCCACACGGGCATTGACATGTTAAATTACTTTCTGTAGTTAGAGCCTCAAGAAAGAAAAGTCAAGACAGTTGGTTATTACAAAATATAGGTTAGGTTTGTCGGTTTGTCTTCCCGGTAACAAAACAGGAACGAGAAGAAGAAATTGAAAAGAAGATACGAATAGCAAGTTGTTTTCGTTGGGCAATGCAAGGCCCAAAGGAGTGCCCGGAAAGGGCGGGAGGAGTTAAAAAGAGGAGAGGCATTTGTGACATTGGGTAAACAGTGCAGATTTATTCATACTTTACACAATATTAATGATCAACAAGCAGATAGTTAGTTTTTGTCAAAGTTTACATGGACAAGTATTAAAAATAAGTCAAGGCTAAACTGGTGAGCAACGTGAATTTGAAATACAGTACAATCATTTTCAAGAAAAATTACTTTACACCCTCCGGTTATTATGGACATTCACAATTCTTTGAGCTAACTGTTGAGCTATTTTTAATTCTGAATTTGTTCCAGTGAGGGCTGGAATGGATTTCAAATATGTTGCACCTTTATCACCCTGCACAATAAAAACACATATTTGCATAACTTTTTTGTGGAACTTAAATGTAAAGTTAAAGTTTGCTGAAATATCAAACAATCTGCAATATGTCCAGCCGGGGGCATGAGTATTTTGTAGCCAGTTTGCTATAACCTTCAATGTTGGCATTGTTTCTTGATGAGAGAGGCAAAATTCTCGTTGTTCGTCAATGGTTTTCAATCCCAAAGTGTGAAATGCCTTGAAGAGCCACTTTAAAGCCCCAAGACCATTTTTGTCTAGAGCCTTCAAGCATCCAACCTTTAGAAAATTTTGCTTGTTGACATCTCGATTATCTTGGGAGAGTTGAACAAGTTGAACAACTGGAGCAGCAAGCAAATATCGATAGTTTGTTGAGTCGGGTTTCACCTCTTGTCTGAAGTTTGCAACAAACTTATAATGAGGGAGAGGAATCCCAGCCTCCCACCCAAACAACTGTTTTGCATTGATTGCAGCATACTGGTGCATATGCGATAAAGTGATATTTTCTTCTAACTTGTTGAACCGAAGGACATTCAACATTACAAAGAAGGTCAAGTCAATATGTAGCTGAAAATGTTCCTGGTTCTTTTTCAAGATAGATACAGCATTAATGATGTCCATCAGGTTTTGATAATTATCTAATATGTTGACTTTCTTTGGACAGTTTGGGAGTGTTTGGCAGCCCTTAGTAACAAGTCCATCAACCACAGGATAAGCCTTTCCGGGCAGTTTGAATGAACTTTTGTGGGAGACCTCTTTCTGTTCTCTGTCTCTGAAGCCAAGCATTGGTGTGCTATGAGCCATCACTACTACAAAGGCAGCCACATAATCTTTCACTTTGAAAGGACAACCACCATAATAACTCCAAAAGGCTTGAATGTAAGGCACCACAGTTTCTTTACCCAGTTGAGGTCTCATCATTTTTTTGGCCATACGGCAGACAGCTTGCCAGTGTTCTTCGGTCCATTCCAAAGACGTGCTCCCTGGATCTTTGAAGCCGCGTGGAATGCTCATAGTAACGGTATAGGGCGAAACAGTCCGAAAATCGTCCGCAATGACTAAAACACTATTCCCGAACTGGTGTCCGCGGCACTCGCCTTATCTTGATCCTCTGGGCTGGGTATCGATCAGTGAGGGGACTCCCCGAAGCAACAATCGGCTGTCAAGGAGAGCCAACACTCTCAGTTAATTGCGTCGAGCGATGAAATCCTCTAAAGCTGTCTCCTAAAAGAGCTTCCTAGATGTCTACAAGTCTAAATAAATGTCAACATGGTCACTAACGAAAAATAAATGGAGATGAAACTCTAAGACATCAAAATGTCGTTGTTGAGTCTCTTTCACGTTGGCAACATTTTGACTTTTGAATCCATGCTTGGGCGGGAGGACGGACCTGAGTTCAAAAGGATGCAATTGCTAGAGTTGTACATGCTACTTAATTTTTCCTATAAGCGGACTGCTGGAGCCTCGAGTGGAATCATTCTCCATAGTTTTCCATTTAGTTTTGTGTGAGTTTTCTCGTCGCCACACTCTCGGCAGTTAAATTGTTTTTGTTTTTTTCGAAACAAGGAAATTTAACTGAAAAACTGATTCTAACGGGTCAAAGGCAATATTCAGTGGAAATTGCTTTGATTTACAGTCAATTTTTGATTAATCATAGAAATTTTCATTTCAGAATTTCTAATGGTGTGTTGCAATCAAATTTTTCAACGGAGTAGTCACATTGAATCTATCTAGATACACCATTATCTGAGTGAGCCTGGGCTTAGGGCGCGCCCTGCCAACTCAAAGTGCGCCATATGTGCGCAATGTGTACACATGATTCCCGAAATTATTGATTCCCAGTGATTCCCGGCCGCTTATATTTATTCCTTGGGTTTCCTAGTGGTATAAAAACGCTTATTTCGACTAATTTGCTCCAGTTCCTCTAGTTTTCCTCTATGAGTTTGAGTTATTTCTTTAGATTTCGATTCATGTTTATCCTGATGATTTCCCGGGCAGGTGTATACACATGATTCCCGGAGTTGTTTGTCCGCTCGCCGCCGGGCATGCCACCGCACAATCCCGTGTCCTATTCAGGGGCCTGCGTAAATACGAGGCAAATCGGGCAAACGCAATTCAGGTATTTGCAGTCGCGCACAAGATAAGACCCGGACACAATCGGCGCCCCCTTTGAGACCCCGTCCGCCCCGCCGTGTGGCGTCGCCGATGTACGTTTTCACCTCGGCGCGGTAAAGTCCCTCGAGGACGCGCTGCAACAGCGTCGTTGCGGTGGGCGCCGCCGACGACGACATCCTGAGCCAGAGGAGGAGATGGACTCCCAGCTACCGGCCAAGGAGCGCGGACGTGGCGTCAGGGCCAATCTGAGCCGGCTCTGGGACGACTACGTCCGGCACAGCACGGTGCACGGCGTCGTCTACGTCGGCGGCGTCAACTGCAACACCAAGGAGAGGTACAGGCAGGCAGTGACCGCGCGAGCGTTCCCCGCCCGCGTGGCGCGCACAGGATGACGCCCAGAGGCCGATCCACACATTGTGCGGGTTATGAATCCAAACCCTTTTTTAGTTGCATAATCGTGCGAAATCAGCAAATCTACCGCGCTGCCTCCGTTAATGATGCTGGGAAAAGAGGGGGGGGGGGCAGCCAAGGGGTACTCCACTGAGAAAAAACAGTACACAGACTCCAGAAATATAAGAAAAGAACGCTAAATATCTAGGAAAACCCAATCAAAAATCAATTTAGGAAAGTCGAGAAAAGTAAGAAAATTTGCGTTCACTTGAATTTCTAGCGAACCTTTTGGTATTGACAGGCTGGTCTGGGCCGCGGCGCTATTGCTCCTGGTCAGCGGCGGCTACATCACGTGCCGGCACTCCCTGTTCGGCGACCATTCGTTCAGCACGACCACGGTCATCACCAACGACCACCTGCCCGTCAGCATGTTCGCCTTCCCCGCGCTGTCGCTCTGCCCCCTCAACAAGGTCCGCCGCACCATCGGCGAGCGGCTGCTGCTGCAGTGAGTTGTGGCGTCCTAATCGTCCAGAAAGTATACACGTCCGCCGTTCGCACGATTGGGACCTGCGTCACGTTCAGCGTGTGCAAGGCTCTCGTAGCGCCTGGCAGGTAGGCAACATCTCGCCTGCAGTGCGCGCGTGTACCGCGGGCTGGCCTACCCCGAGTCTCGCAGGCGCCGAGCCCCCGTGGTTTGCGGGATGAGTCACGGACGCACTTTCTGAGCGGTTATACACCAGGTTCAGTACCTTGTGTCCTACTCCCGGTACTTTGTATCCTGCTCCCGGTACATTGTGTCCTACTCCCGGTACTTTCTCTCCTGCTCCCGGTACCTTTGTATCCTACTCCCGGTACTTTGTATCCTGCTCCTGGTAACTTGTGTCCTACTCCCGGTATCTTGTGCCCAGCTCCGGGTACTTTACGTACTGCTCTCGGCACTTTGTGTCCTACTCCCGGTACTTTGTATCCTGCTCCCGGTACCTTGTGTCCTGCTTTTGGTACATTGTGCCCCACTCGCAGGCAGCTCGGGCTGCCGCCGGCGGAGAGCCCCAACGCCACGCTGCGCGCCCAGCTGACGGCCGTGATGCGCGCGCTGTCCTTCCTCGAGATGGACCAGATGACCAACATCAAGCCCAGCCTGGCGCGGGCCTCCCCGCTCCTCCACCGCCTCGACGGCCTCAACCTCACCGACTTCATGCTGCAGGTGCTCCCCACCTGTCGCCAGCTGTTCGCCCGGTGCACCTGGCACGACCGCGAAGAGGACTGCTGTGACCTGCTGCACCTGCAGCAATCCGACCTGGGCTACTGCTACTCGTTCAATTCGCTGAGTGCCATCCGCTCCAAGCACTGGTAGAAACCGTTCCACGGGGCATATTGTGGCCCAAATTAGGTTCACAGTCACCATATTTTGGAGTTTATAGGGGCCCCATGATATTTGTAACCCAGGGTAAAAATATCTTGGGAACTCTATGAACTCCTAAGCCCCAGGACCTAAGGTTATTCTAGTATCCGAAGGGTATCTTAGACAGCTTCAAGATAATAACATTTCCCGGCTCACAGCAAGACTGTGAAATCGCACGGCAACGCGATCAGAACCTTCGAGGCCACCATGAGGTTCTCCGCCTCGTCGAGGCCCGAGTGCGAGCTGCGCAGGACCAACTCGTACGGCTCCGGCAGTGCGCTGCAGGTGTTCCTCGGCGAGCTCAACGACAGCGACATCGTCACGTACCGCATGCAGAGGGGGCTCGTGGTAAGATGAGAGGCAAACCGAAACGATCAGAAGACAAAACTTTGCTCAAAAGTTTTTGCTTCGGTCACGAAAGTATATGATCAACTCACACCTGTACCGCGTGACGCAGGTGTGCCCGCACCAGAACATCGTCCTGCCCAGCCCGTCGGCGGGGTTCGTGCTGCCGGCGCGCGAGGCGAGGCAGCTCGAGCTGTCCATGACCATCGAGAACACGGTGGTGGACAGAGAGGTGCTCGCGCTACCCTTAAAACTGCGCCGCTGCACCAGGCCGGGCGAGGGCACCAGCCAACTCACCGGGACCTACTCGGCCGACACGTGCAAGCTCGAGTGCAAGCTCAAGTACATCTGGAACACTTGCCACTGCTTGCCCTACATGTTTGGTATTTATACCTTGAACTCTGCTAGCTGTGCTGTAGTGCGTAATAACATTGTGTCAACGTTTATGATTTTCATGACACACACGGTAAAGAAAGTTT